AGGCAAACTGGGGTATGGCTGCATGCTGGAAGCATAGTCTACAGAAAGCAAATGGAGATATCAGCACGCAAATGCACATGTTACACTCTCTTTAAATAAGCACTACAGGAGTTCACAACCTAAAATATCCCCTTTGTGCACGTGTGTGTGTGTGTGTGTAGAGAGAGAGAGAGAGAAAGAGAGAGAGAGAATGCCTTTGGGGTCTGGTCAGGGTCAGATAGCATTTCTCTGGAGGTGCAAGGTGATTTTCTCCTGGTATTTATTTATGATATTTGGATTTCGTTAATGCAGTAAATCTACATTTCTTTTATAGGAGCGTCCTTGAGACTCACTGGGTTAGTAAGTGGGTCAGTTACATACTCGAGAGATCTGTCTGGACCCGCTAGTTCGTTGTTCTGGTTCTGTCCCGAGGCGATCCTGACCTCACGGAGGGAGCAAATTGACTAAAGACTAGTAGATTGCGAGTCGACAGAGGTCATTTTCCTTGGCCTTCCCGTGTCACGCATAAGCTGATGGGTGGTTGGGGGTGGGGGAGGGGGTGGGCGCGGTGTAAATCCATGACCCTTTGATCAAAGTGGTTTTTCCTCAAAGACACACTGCCAGCGCACTGCCATCTCCTGTGAGTCAAGAGCGAGTTTCTCATGTTTAATAACAGAGCCTGAGAATGAAACTTCAGATCCTTAGTTATAGCTAAATTTCCACAGCATTATGCGAGATAGATTTAACTGTCCCATCTCTCTGGGAAGTCCTTGATGGTGCGGAATTCCAAGTACTTCCAGGAGGCCTACTTGTCAATTCCTCCCAAAGAGCAGCAAGGATCTTCTACTCTATACCCCATGCATGTGATAATATTCTGTAATTGCCTCTGCATAATAAACATCCATAAATCACAGCTTAACCAGGTCATATGTTCTGGTCTGAACATAAATGACGCCTAGGTATTTGTACTAATCCCCACTTAGGTTTTGATTGTGAGCCCATTTTTGGAAAGAGTGCCACAGTTGTGGGGGGAGGAGGCAGAGTTACATTCCCCAAATCATTCATACAAATTAGTTACCGTTTAATTACATTCTTCTGCATAAACAATGATTCCTTCCTGCAAAGCGATTGGTGTTGTGTTTTAGTATCATTTTGAGAAATAGGTACATACTAGCGGTGCCACTGGGGTAACAGTTGCTCAGTGGCTAGTAATGTGGTCTCAGCCTTCCAGGGTTGTGTGGAGTCTGCTTGTTCTCCCTGTATTCGCATAGGTTTCTTCCCAGAGTCCAAAAACATGTACTGTAGTTGAGTGAATTGGTGTCTCTAAATCGACTACACTGTGTGGGACCTGGGATCTAGGGTGGCCCCTGTCCAGTACCCTGTGCTTCTTAGGACAGGGTGATTGCTCATTGTATCGCATAAGAATTTGAGGATGGATGGATGGATGGACCTTAAACATACTTTAAAAAAGCCTATTTTATAATAAAATATTTAATATCTCATGTAATTTATTGGATAATGCACTGAAAGTGAAAAACATTTACGCATCGTAAAGCTGAAGTATCGTAACACAGCCCATCGTAACACAGGGAGCGTCTGTGTATTATAATTAGACTTTTTGTGATACCGGGAACTAATACTCTTTTTCCATTTTTGGAAAACAAACCCGTGTGACAAGTATGTAGAGGAAAGAGTGTGTCAGCAGAGACCAGAAAACACAGTTTTGCATTAAGATCTTACAGTGCTATATAACCAGCTGCAACATCAAAGAACCTGAAACATTTAGTGTCACTTAGCCAAATATATTATTCTTCCCCAAACAACACTCCAGGAAACGATAGCTAGCACTGAGGTTTAGCATGTGGATTTGTAATCAGGAAGTTTGAGTCCTTGTAACCTTGGACTGCTCTGGTAATATATCCAGCCCCACAAATAAAAATATAAAAATCATATAGATAAAACTTGTAAGTCACCTTGCATTAAAAATGTCGGCCAACCAGCTAAAAGGGAGTCTTTGGAATATAGATGTACCTCCCCTTATATTTCAGCGTTAGCGTTACAGCAAGAATGGCGGCAGAATGAAAAATGCTCTAAGTAATACTTAGCGTCTGTCGACTGATCGCTCTCACGTGTGACAGGAGGTGGCTTGCTCTGACCGCCTTGACGTCGTAATAAATCTGGCTCAGAAATTCAAAGGGCATTGACTGGGGGATAATTACAGCGGAGGGCAGGATAAAGCCCACGCTGGACACTAAATGATGCATGATGGGGATTATCGTGAACAAGGTGAATCTATTCTGATGGATTTCTTCACTATTGGACCTGAAGAGCTTCAGTCGAATGGCTCAATGTGCTACAGGCCTGTGTAACGAGTGACCTAAAATAACTGGGCGTTGGTATTCGGAAAGGATAAAAATGAAGGGGATATTAAATGCTTACAAAATGTAAAGCAATGCGTTTCTAAGGGATCAGACTGTGCATAAGTGGCTGCATCGGTGGTCAGTTAAGTTTGGTTTGACTCTGAAATTAACATTGCAGCTATATTAACTGATATATAATTCAGCTAAGGATATTGGTTGAATTTAGCTAAAGTCGTCCATACATCTTATCCAAAGAGGACCACACAGAGCCTGCAGCATATCCCAGGATGCAAAGGGCAAGGGACAGCCTAGGGGTGTTTCCTCAATATGCGTACTTCACCGTACTTATGTTCTCATGTACCTAAGAACTAAGAACACAAGTACTGAGGACAGTAAAAATCCTCAGATATTGATCTAGCACCGCCCCAGATGCATCCTCTCCGAATGAGAACAGTCCCATGATTCATTGCACCCAAAGTTCAATCTTGGGAGGTAACTTATCAAGACTGGTCTTGCCAGGACCACAAGTACTATCTTTGTGTGTTTGGCATTGAGGAACATTCTAGATCACCATTGGTGGGTCACGACCCAAAATGCCACGGGACCACCTTCACTGGGAGGTGGACTGCATGGTTTTTGAACAATGCATGAAGACATTCTGCTACTGTTACTGCACGATGTTCCATTTAGGATTACTGCAGTCTTTTTGTGAAATAAATCAGGATGAAGATTTAAAAAAATTTAGGTCGTGACTTAATGACCAATGACCACTGCCCTAGATGGAATGCCAGTCCCATAATCAGGGGCAGCATGTGATTCAGCACGCTAAGACAGGAGGCTTGCTGGTTTGAACCCAGCTTTGGCAGAATAGTTACATGTCTGTAGGCCCGAGTGTAATATTCATGAATGTTCAGTTCACCAGCCAATCAGGTAGAGCTCTCATTAATATTAATGAGTTTCAATTCCCTAAACTGCCTAATACGATGAAAATGTGCCCCCCCCCCCCAGTTTCATGGGTGCTGCTGCGGGTGGCTGTCCTTCACTTACATATGTGTCTGTGTATCATGGAGCACAAGACAGAGTAGCCAAAACAAAATTTCCCCATGTGGATCAATGAAAGTTTCATTATCATTATTAATGCCCCATTATGGGCAATTTAAAGGAATCAATCCAGTCACACTGAATGTCTTTACACTGTGGGAGGATACCCCCATGAAACCAGAGAGACTGTCAATGCAGAAAGGGAAACGAACTCACAACTGTGGAGAGTGAGCGTGATCGCAGCCCCGGCTTCAGTATGATATATGTTTCACTTTTCTGTACGTTATGAAAATATATGGATGTGTGTTACTCGGCTATCAGTACATTTCAGTGACTAGTTGTTGTACATTTAATTTCCCTCTAAATAGCTTCCGCTGTTCACCGTGTCGCCTACCCCCACCCCCAATCAGACAAGGTGCCAAGTCAGCCGACGCTCCTCGCAGATATACGACACGTTTTAAACCGCTGCGTCGAGACACATGTGTCGGCTCGAGTTTCACGCTCTCAGGCTTCGCAGCTCAGACGAGCCTGTCTGGCCGTCACGAGGAAGCGTCAGGCACGTCGAAGCTTCCGGAAAGCGTGGCGGCTTCGCCCAGCCCGCTAACAAACCGACTCCGCATAATTGTGGAAATAAGCAGTTTATCCATGTTGCTCCTCTAGCTCTACAAATAAACACGTCAAAAATAATGTTTCTCTTCCCGTGCCGCTAATTAGTATAGCCCTTCCGAAACCTACTGAATTCTAATGTTTATCAGAGATTTTGAAAATGAAGTCAAACAGGGACCATAGCTTAGAGGATTACAAAGGGTTCAGTCGCTTGCTTGATGGAGATATTTTTTCCAGTATTCACCTTTAGTTTGTTGCTAGGAAACAGCTCTTACTGCAGACATTAAATATCACTATTATTAATCCTGTCTTGATCTCAGGGGGACAATAATGAGTCTAAATGAAACGTTTGTCAAAGACAGCCCTACTGACTCAACCTGCCTTTTGAGTTTAATGCCACTTCCTTAAGCACTCTGCCCCCTGCTGGCCTTAGTCAAAAAGGACATTTGTTTGGACATTCTTTTTATGCACATATGAAGGGAAGGTTTCACGTCCTGCAAGGGCACAAATATAATCCTAAACATCCCTATATGTCGACACTGTTTGACTAAACACTTGGGTCACATACATACTATGTAATGCTGATTAATAAATCATCACAAACCGTGATATTCAAGCGTGAAACTTTCAGTTCGTTCACCCCAAGCGACCAGCCGTCGTCAGCTGCCCCGTCGTGCGTGACACCGGCCCCGGGAGCCTGCCGCGCTTCCGTCCCGAGGCTGAACGTGTGTCAGTTAACGGCTGGAGGCCCCCCATTCCGTGTGCAGGCTGCCGTTCCGTGAAGTATGACGCAGAACTTATGCTGGTGCAAATTATCTAGGATCCCAAGCCACTGGGTGAAGATAGCCGACTGGTAAGGCTACATTTCCATTGGTCGAAGCTTCCCATCTCCATATTTTTGTCTAGCCAAAATACTATAATCCTACTTCTGCCACTGACAAACTGATGCCAGCTGCTGTTTATACACAATTATGACACATAAATGATAAGAACAACAATACTAATACTACTCACCAGTGTCCTGTCAGTGCACGCCGTCTAACTTTTCCCGGTGCTGTTTTGTAGACAGTGCTTGTCTTTTCTTATTTGGTGGTAAGTGCAAGCCCTGCTGTCCATATAAGCCCCCTGGAATTCTCCATGACAGCGAGCGGGTGGGGGTCCCCTTCCCGTCTCATTTTCCTTGGGCGCAACGCCGTTCCGCGGTCCCGTCTTCAAGAATGCGTCCTTCTCCCTCCAGCCAAGGTGAGGTCTTCAGTTAGGGGACAATTCCAGATGTCACTCTGTCCTTTTTGGCCACGTGTGCACTGGCATGACAGTCTGCTGTGGTGACAGGCAGGCCTCAGCTTTACCTGAAAGGGCAAATTAATGACCCCCATCCGAGTAACTGCATGATATCCAGTTGCATATGCCACCCATTCAACCTACATGTATGTATGTTACAAAAAAATCCAAACCCCCCATATAACAGAAAATGTAACTGAATTTGATAGAGAACTAAGGAAGTTATAGCGGAAATAAGTGGTCATTTTTTCCTTTTGTTCTTAATGTATTTTAAACAAAGGCTGTGATCCTAAGTTGAGAAATTTAAAGAAATTTAATAAATTATGTGATCTTCAAAAAAATTTATCAATTTGTTTTATAAGCTGTTTTACTGAAAAAAGCCCTGCAGGAATGCACAAAACATCACTGAAAGATCTCTCATAACAAACACACTTGGTCATCTACAATGTAAACAAACGCGCTTGACGAATCAGGTTGCAGTATAGCAGTCACGTGACCTCTGGGGCACCTCATTACCGTGACCGCTCAGTTGGGAACGCTTTCGTTCGTAAGCAAAACCATTGACTTCGACACTAAGGACAGTCACGAAATTTCATACAGACATGGTTGAATAAATGATATATCAAATCTATAGGATTTTATTAAAAATCTATTTACCTCTAGTGATTTTGAAGCAATGCCTTTGAGAAGTAATTTATCGGTAATTTTGCAAGGGGAAAACGAAACACTTCTGACCGGTCAAAAACAAAAATTCGAAAACGAGGTTGTGACGAAAAATGTGAACTATGTCATCTATAAGCGTGTGCTCCTGGAACTTTAAAGATAAACCCACCGTTCAACTTTTTCCGCGGCTATGCTATTCCCTGCATCCACCAAACTCGTGATGACGTAAACACACCTGCGCGGAAGAGCGGCGCAACGGGAATCGGGAGATTGTAACATATCTACTACATGCTCACCTGATTAATATTATATGAAATATTTGTTTACAATTAAATTAACATACATTGACAGGTAAAATATATGTTAAAGACAAATTTCTATCCATGAGGTTATAAATGTTTCCCAAAGTGCTAGCATAAACAAAGTGAGCTGGAGGTCCACACACAGTGTTCCATGACCGCTTATTATCAGAAACCAAAACAGAATCCAAAAGTCCGTAAATAGACAATTAGCAGGAAAGAAGCATACCGGAATGAGAATCCAAATGGCATAGCTGAGAAACAGACAGCAAGTCAGTGAACAGATGGTAAATATCAATGCTGACCACAAACAGAACCTCTCGGCACAGAGGAGCCCTCACAATACCTCACAATGAACAGACAGGAAGGAGCGGAACAGGAAGTGCAATGCAGGTGAGCTTAATTAAAAGGTGAGGATGATTGGGGAAGAATTCCTGGCTCTGTTGAAGATCAGGGCCGGATTACGGATCCGGGTTGGAACTGGACTGAGGCTCAGGCACCTGGTCTCAGTATTTTTTCCCAGTACCCAGAAAAGTGGACCAGATTTACTGCACGTTTAAGTTAATGAAATTGACTGTAATGTGGTGGTTAATCTCTTAAAGACCAAAACCAGTGCTGTCATCTGTGCACAAGGTAGGTTTAATTTACTGTGATCAAAAACCTCCCGCAGATCCTCCTACAAGCAGATGCTACATTAAACTCAAGGTCAGACTTGACTTCAGCAGCTGTAACGTCATAAACAAACGGCAGAATTTCCCTTTGAAGGAGTCGGCTGATGAGGAGCGGGGCGGCTTCGGCTGAATCTTGCCGGGGTGTAACAGCAGGCCGCCACACACTGGCCAGAACCTGGCTTTTGAAGTGAAAAATCTTCCCAAATAAGGCTAATAACGAAATCCAAATGTGAGTACAATCCTTGCAAAAACATCAATAGCACTGGCCTTTATACATTATGTAACCCCCCCCCCCCCAAAAAAAAAAAAATATCAGAAGAGACCAAACCGCAACACGACATGTCTCTGTGAACTTCAAAGATGCCATTTAAATCTCGCCCCGGAATTCAGGACAAAATGATAGGTCTTAAAAATCTACAAGGTCACTGCTTCACAGCACTGTATCCTGGGGCATATTACAGATATCTTGGATAAAAAGGCGAGCGATGTCATTGCTCAAGAGGGGTCGGGCACCGCGGAAGCCAGACAGGCGTCAGAACCAGCCATGGCCAGCGCTATTGTGAGCTGCCAATCAGTAACCAGCACCGAGGACATTACATTGGCTATATCCATCAAACCGCCGCTCAAACTCTTACCCAGAGGGTTCATGGGGCCTACCGTGGCAGAACAGGACGCAGAAGGGGTACACTCTGGACGGTTTGCAAGTCTATTGTAGGGCACACACACACACACACACACACTATAGTCTTGCACAGCATAATGACAGTTTGGACAACAATAGACCGCATGTACAACAGTGGTCCCATAAGATTATAATGCAGCTGAAAATTCCTATTGCTTAGTGGCGTCGTAGCCGTCGTTACGTCATAGAGCGACTCGTCACATTTTTGGTGATTCTGGTGTAAACATACTTACTGTGCTGCCGGTCATATACAAGTAAAGCACTCGGAGTACTGCACAGTACATAATACTCGATAATGATAAGTTGAGTACTCTGTGACTGAAACTCTTTATACACAACTGGTTGGTTGAAATGAAATCTTGGTCTGGACTTCTACTTTCTGGATCTGAAATATCCGCCTATGTGAATTAGTCTCTAGGAGCTGAACAAAACTCACATGATACGAGAAGAACATACAGACTCCACACACACAGAGACTCAAACTCCCAGCCTTGGAGGCGTGAGGCATCAGTGCAATCAGCTGAGTCTTTGTACATAGTGCAAACTGGGCCATAATTGCCAGTGCAAGGTAACCAGACGCTGTCCTTGTTTATAGTACTGAATGCTCACGTCTTCACCATTACTGCAGCGTGGCCAATGGTGCAATGAGCCACACCCCCTCCGCTACCTCCCAGGCTGGCACATCTGCGTGAGACACGGGCAAATACACAAATATAGCTGTTCTCCGTGTGCGTCGCAAAAGGTGATTGTTGCATCGATGTAGCGAACTTGTGGGTTCCATCGAACATGCAAGTTGGGTAGTTTTTCTGCACGTGGGATTGTTTACATCTTTTGTTTGGGAGCAAGACAAAATAAATGTATTTAGTGATTTGGTTAAATTGTGATTTCACCATGTGCATATGTACAGTGTATATATATATTGTACAGTAGTTTTATGTACAGTTTGCATTTATTTAATGTACTGCACCGCTGATAGGAAATTCATGAGCCAAGACTTTCACTCTCGGGTTCACTCGTTCGAGTGAAGTGACAATAAAAGTGATTTGATTTGATGTTACACAGCTGGTTACAGCATAATTAGCAAGGCAGACTATGTACCCATAGTACATACAGCAGCCACATCAGGATCCGAGAAAGAATCTCCAAAAAATTTGCGATTATTTAGTCACAAATACTCAATAGCGTTTCACTCACTATTTACTCAAACACGTGCATGGGTCTATTATTTTCCAGATTGTGCCTCTGGAAAATGAACAATTAATATTTAGTCATTATAAAGAACGAGCAGCTTTTGAGCTGCACTGTGATACGTTTCTCTGAAATATACTCTATAAAAGCAGACATAAGAGTTAAGAACCCTGTATCTTCAATCTGTAGACAGCCGGGGGGGGGCGATGTTATTGTGTTTGCTGCATTTAAAAATGCTTATTTACATAAGGAAAGAAGAGGTGCAGGCAGAGGGGGGGAACGGAATAAAAGCAGAACACTTCAATAATTAACATTTGAATGATAAAAATGCAGACCGAGGCTATTGAACTTGAAGATGTTTTTATTTTTTGCCCTACAATACAGCTTTCTTTTTCACCTGTATGATCATAAGCCTTAGAGATAACTAAAATGTCACTTGTCATTTCTATCACGTGGAGTGTCAGTGAAGTATACTTACACACAAGAGTAGTGCGATACTCTCAGTGTTAAACGCAAGCCCCCCCCCCCAGGAAGCGAAGCCGCGCCGCTCAGTGATACAGTGCTAAGCACCAGGTCGGACCTCTGCCTGCTCAGATCCAGTGGGCTTAGAGCATCACACCTTCAGCTGAAGACTCATATGATGACCATTATTATTTTATTTTTATTTTTTACAGAAACACCCCAGACTGGGCTGTGGGGGGGGTGGGGAGGGGGCACCTCAAAGTGGAAGGCAGAACACTAGCAGATTTCTCTCCTTTAAGCCATAAATGTTTAATAGAACATCTGCATTTCCCATGATGCACTCACTCACCAACCTCCAAGACCATAATTACAAGGCATTGAACTTCCTTTATAACTAAGCTGTTTATATTAGGTTATTCTAAAATGCATGATCAACAGACACTTGATAAAAAGTCTTCTGTCCATCTTCTATACTCGAGGCCTAGTCCAACACAATGACATAATATGTATTGAACTTAAATATTATTCTTGGTGTTTAATTAATAATTCATTAACTAAGAAGACTATTAATGCTAATTTGGCTGGTCTGGTTGATCAAGGGGTAGAAATGACACCCTCACACCCCCAGTCCCCCTCTGTGTACATGGGGGAGGGGTTTGCATGTTTCCTCTGTGTTTTGGGGGTACTTCAGGTATGGTGAGAGGGTGTCTTTTAATTGCCCATAGTGTGTGATTGTATGAGACCCATCCAGGGCCTCCTCTAACTTGTGCATCCTGGGATAAGGTCCAGCTTTCCCATGAGATCGTAATGGATAAGTGATCACAAGACAGATGGCACAGTATGACAATTCTTTAAGTGCCATAATCGTATCGATCAAGTTACAGACAACTGCAAGATTCCGATACTCAAATTCTGGGTGATGTCATCTTTAAGTGAATTTCTTGGTGAACTGGGGGTGACGTTATATTATGCTGCTTGAGAATATCGTGAGAGAAAATAAAATTTATTCACATTTACATTAATTTCCATTCATAGGCTGATGACCCCCAACTAGAATTCTTAATTATAGTAAATATAATGTGAAATTTCCATCTCCAAACCATAAAAAGCTGATGTCATATTACTTTGAGGCAATGGAACAAACTAACAAACTTACACCTTTGTTCAGATCTTATACCAGCTTCATACGGCTCAGAAACCCCGCAATAACTACTAGAACATTCTACGGAAGCACGAATCGCACACACTCCTCACTTCATTCAGGCTCATGTTCATGGAAATGCACTTATTAACCGGTACAATGCTTCTTGTAATTCCCCAGTTAAACAAAAATCATGTCGGTAGAAAGTCCCCTTACAGATTTACAAAACAGACTGGCAGCTAAAGTAAAGAATTGCTCCCTCATTCTTACTGTAGTATTTAAATCTAGACTGAAGATTTGTCTAGCTTATCCTGGTTTATTGTCAGTATACATTACCGAAAATACCAGAGGTGACTGTGCAGCCATGCGACCTCAGATCCCCAGAGATCTGTTCCTGCTACAGGCATTTTTGTTTCTTCAACAAAGTTTTTTTTTGATATAACCAGTTACATTTTAATAGCACATAAATTTGACTACTGTTGTGGCTAAATATTCGCTGCATGCTTTGCAGGAATTATGCTGGCTAGGATGCTATATAAAGTAAATTGAATTGGATACATAACCGTATTACTATGCATCAGTAGGCATTATTGGTCTTTTCTATTATCAGATCTTTCACCATCTTTAATGTATAGTGTGCGTGTCTCTCTAATGCACCGTTTTTAAACGTATGACATATGTAGGCCTACTCAAACGTGTTACATTTCGTACTATTTAAATTCAAACCATTTTCCATTGTCCCATTTTGTTACATACCACAATATATCTATGTTTATTTTTTTATTTTTGCCCATATCTAACATAATGTAAGGTGACAAGTTTAAAATGAACAATGCCTTTTTCTTTTCAGTGCATACTTCTTAGCCGGAATTTTAATTCAGTCGGGCATATGGAAAAAAAAAATCATTATATTACATTGGTCACGTAAAGTCTAGAATCATATTTTGCTTGTTATATTTCAATTATTCCCCTGGTACCCAGAAAACACATTTTTTAAGAGTCTTTCCTTTTGTTTTGAAAATTGATTCTCTTTATTTCACTTTACACCGTGTCAAAACAATTTAAACCCGATGATGGAGGCTGCGGTGAGTAAAGGGGAGACAAAATGAGCAGAAAAGCTCACATGTATGAGCAGCGCAGCAAAAGCGGACTGTAATGGGATTCAATGCAGCGGCTGGGAGTCGCGAGCGCGATCGATCCCTTCATTTAGGTGGCATC